TTTTTCTTCAAAAAAAAAAAAAAAAAATTCCTTAAGTTGTGGATCATGTGCCTTTATATAAAATATGATTGGGTTTTCGAAATAAATTTAAATTGGATTCTTTTGGTTAATTAATCAAGTTATACGGGGCTTAAAAGAGAAAAATAATAATTTTCTCATGAGAAATACTTTTTGAAATTTGAATTCGAATCCTTTAACTTACACACTTAAATTTTAAAAATATTCAAATTTGAATTTGGTTAATTAAGATAAATTTTTGTTCTTTACTTTCAATAATAATTGTCTAAGATTTTATTTAGTACAATAATACGTGGGAGTAGAGATTCAACACACACTACATTTTGGTCGAAAATACATACCTTACACCAATTGAGTAAATTTTGAGTCATTTTTCTTTTAAGTTCAATAATTGTAGGGTAAGAAATCTAACCATAGAATATAATAGGTGYAATTTTCGTTCGACTTGAATCAGCAAAGAATTAAAGGGTTTAGAGTTAGATATTTTTTTAATTCAACCATATGCGTGGAGATGAAGATTTGAGGTCAAACACATCTACCCACTACAACAAAAAAAGGTCTTCGGCCACACTTTCGTCGTGTTTCCAGTGACAAAAACAATTTTCTTGGTAGTTTAGAGTTAGATATTAAATTACGAAATTCATAAATTTAGATATTGCATTCCATCCTAGTTTGGAGTTGTATTAAATGAACTTAGAAGTTTGAACCTCTWAACTACCAAGAAAAAAATTTCTAAACTAGAATATATAATTTACTTTTTTTTTTTTTGCTAGCATATATATAACTCATTCAATTTTTTTGAGACCGTTAATAATGCCTTTGCTGCATTTGGAAGGTTCAAATCCCTACACATCTGCATATTTGTTGTACTAAAAAATATATTTCTTTTTGTCGTAAAGATACTTATAATTAATAATTAACTCTAATTAGTTGAGTTAGATAAGATATTAGTTAGATGGCATTTTGTTCTTTTTTTCTTTGAGTACAACAGTTTGGAAATATGGGGATCGAATCTCCAATCTCGAGGGAAGGACATATCAATTACGGTTATTGGCGAGGTGACATTTSGTTAATACAATAATTTAATTAGGTAAGATTTCATCTTATTGAATGGCATGAAATTGTGTGCGTACCAAAAGATCTGCATGGACTTAAATAGAATTATATTTGACAATAAAAGAAAAGTCAAAGAAAAAGAGTACATAAAAGTAAAAGCTACGTTTTAAAGGTTATTTGTTATGAAGAACAACACTCAAATAATTCACTTAAACTCCATTTACCTCTATGCTTTTTAATGGATGACCGTAAATTTCAATACACATCTTCGTAGCAACTTAAAACTCTATTAAAATAGCTATTCACTAAACACTTTCTCGTGGAAAATTTCCAATACTACGAGAATCGTCATAGTTCACACTATAATTTTACTTTTATAAATAAATTTTTAACATTAGTAGATCCATTTATTTTTAACACGATGCTAACATGATAGATTATAACTTAAAATTTTATGTCCCACGTCATATTATGATGTTGTGTCCATATCCTAAATTTCATATATATTATGGATATCTCATGTCTTATATCTCCCGCAATTTAAAAAATAGTAAGAATAAAGAGAGAAAAAACTGGATACAATTAATTACCACTGCCCACTTTCATGAGTAGAGGTGAATTTAATGTTGAAAATATATTTAAAACGTTGATTTAAGTTTAAATTTTGAATTTAATGGTGTGGATTATAATTTATTTAAGTTCATATTTTGAATTTAATGAGAGACAAGTCAAAGCGAGCATAGTTCAACGGTAATTGGCGCATATCTGTAACTAATAGGTTGTGAGTTTGAATCCCCACCCTATTAAAAAAATCTTTAAAAAAATTAATGAGAGAGAAAATGGCAAATACGAAAAGCAAGTAAAATTATTTATGTCTAACTTTTGAATTTTTTTTTTTTCTTTGAAGAGTCTAACTTTTTTTTTTTTTGACATCATAGCGTCTAACTCTTGAATTATAAGTGAAAAAGATGTTGAGATAATACTCAGGAAGTTAAAATAATTTGTAATAATATAAATGGTGTGAGATAGAAATTAAGTGTTATTCCACGTGTCACTCTACGAACTAAGCGCTATTATATCGATCTTACTCCCATATTGAACAAACGAGGTCAATTTGTAAGTAGACTCCTGAAGAATCGTTAAACTTCCCACTTGCCACTATCCTGGATAGCCCGCCTGATTTTTCGGAGTGGAAATCGTGACCGACCATGGTGTTATATAAATACGCTACGCTAAAGGTAATTTTATTTGAGGTACGACGCACATGCATATTTGGAGATAACTAATTCGAGCGATAACTAACTTGAATGTGGGAGTGTTCACCTTTATTTTTACATATCTGTATCTAAATTCGTGATATCATGTGCTCAAATAAATAAATATATAAAAGAATAAGAAAAAAAAGTCATGTCGGAGTTAAAATGGAAAATATATAAAAATGAAAAACCTTAGAAGTTTCGAATGAAGATGGTAATTGGAAATAAATCATAATTAACTCTGAATAGTAATTTTCTAATCAAGGAAAAAGAGAGATATTTGAAGTGGTATCCATCTCATCTCATATTTCCATTTCGAAAATGATGAAATCCATTATCTCATATTTCCATAAATGAGAGGGCGGTAGAATATGACCTAATTAGAAACCACTACATATTTCTTTTTTTCCTCAGCAAATTCTAACTTCCTGAACCGATCAATTAGAGTGCGTTTGGTTGGTAATCAGAAAACAGAAATTTGAAAACAAGGAATTCAATGAAAATCAGAGAATTGTTTTCAGAATTTCTATGGTTTGGATCATAGAATCTGAAAACAGTTATAAAAAACGAATCTCAAAAATTATGGCAAACGAATCCAATTTGAAAACAAAAAAACAGAATCCAAGTTTCCAACAAAACGAACCTTTATTTACTTATTTTTAGGTTAGTTAATAATTCACTCCATATTTATTTCCATATCACGTCAATTCTATACTTGAAAGGCAGGTGATTTTTTTTTTTTTAAGTTGAGGAAGAGATATGTGTTGACCAATTAAATTATATTCAAGTTGGCAATATATAACCAATTTTTTTATTTCAATTTATACCCCATCACTTATAGATGCTAAAAAAGCTTCTGAAGTGCTCTATTTTAAGTCTTCGAAACCAACTCTTAAATTAGCTAACTTTAATCAAACACTAATTTAGTTTTAATTGTGAAAGATATTACACTGAACTAATGAAAAAAATGTGTTTGCCTTCTTGCCTGTTGGTAGTTTTTACTTCCAATTCCCCAGCTTAACTTGAATTCAACAACCAACAAAAATGAGAGTTTTTGATCTTGAGATACCCATCAATTATTCTTTTAATCCCCGAAATTTTGTGTCGATTTTGTTCTTGCACTTATAAAATAATTAAACTTATTCATGATGAATTTTGATCTTGAGATATTGATCAATTTTGTTTTTTGAGTTTTTGGTGGTGATCCGTCTCTCAATTTTACTCCTATATATATACATTGTTCTCTATTTAGACTCGTGATCATAACTCAATTGAACTCATTGGTCAACTTTTATATATTGATTACAGCGATACTTACCTATTTTAACTAAGATATCGTTAATAAACAAGCGTAATTTTTTCTAAATGTAAAAATCTGTAAGAACACAATCTTATCGGACAGCGCATGATCGTTATTCAAACTAAACCATCCCTTGTTGCCTTAGAAACCTCATTAGTTGGTTTAAGTTGTTGATGATCTTGATGGTTTGAAACATGGAGGCTCTGCGAAGAATTATTGGATGGCTCATCAATGGCTGGATCTTTGGTTTTGCCCCACATAACCAAATAAAGTCCTATTATTATGACCACTCCTCCCAAAATCCTGCAAAAACTCAATATGGTCAGTCTTTGTGGGACAAAGTGAAGAAAGTAGAAGGCAAGTAATTCAAAAGGGATACATAAAATACTTAATATTTTTCGTAGTTTTTTTTTTTTTTAATACAACGGGGTGGGATTCGAATTCATGACCTCTTGGAAACGGTCTCTCCAATGCATAAATGGTTGGGAATTCACGTTTTCATCATCTTTGGTAAAATCAAGTCCACCGCGTAGACATTCATAAACTGCTCTACCATAATTCTTAGCGGATAATCCCAATTTTGGTTTAATAGTACATCCCAATAGAGGGCGGCCATACTTGTTCAATTTATCTCTTTCAACTTGGATACCATGAGGCGGTCCTTGGAAAGTTTTAATATAAGCAGGAGGGATTCGCAAATCCTCCAGATGTTTTAACCACTTGAACTATAATTTCTATATTGTGATATGTTCTAATGACATGCACGGCCACTTTTGACAACATCCACCAATTCATAACTGAATTTGGAAGTAACTTTACACGTCCGAGCCTAGTGACAATTGGAGCGACCTATTCAATTAAACTTCTGATTCGGGTGTTCAAACAGCCTACGCTTCCTTTCTCTGACCCCATTTGTATAAGATTTTGGGGAGGAGAACCGATAACAATTTCATGAATGACTGTAAACTAGAGCATACTACCAAAAAGACAAATGAAGGATCTTCTTTCTAAAGAGATTTGATTCGAAATTGATTTTTGGTCAAAAGGCTCTGCTCCCCAATTATCGAGGTCCTAATTGTAAACTTTGATATGATGTCCTTCCAACGTGGCTCGTCCTCTAGGCACCTTTTGGAAGGCATGGAATGCGACAATGTATACGATTCAACTCATTTTAATTAATAACAAAAACAAATAGAGTCAGCCATACTTGTGTGGTTCCCAAAAGATCCCTTCCTGAACACATATTTTCCCTCCGGGTGGCATCAACACTAGCTTAGTAATTAGTTCGCTCTTTTATTAGGTCCAGGCATATCATCATAAGACCATGCAAAAGTCATCCTTGTATTCTTTCAAAATAAACCTAGTTAAATAGATACTATGTTGACATATGGATTAATCTTATGTCCAAAACTTTGAGAACAATCAGCAATCAGCAAGCATACGAATGTAGAATCAAAGACATGTGGAAGTTACGAGGAAGATTAAATGAAAAAAAAATAGTAAAGTTAATTAAAATAGCAAACTCTAAATTTATACTAAAACTTTTAAAGACAATTTAGTCATTCTTAACGTCTCTCACCTCAGAAAGCAAGTAAAGTTTTGCCTCTCACAGAGAATTTTCTAATTTCTTTTTTTAAGTAAAATTTGGAAGTGCTTAAGAAGGGCAGAGGAGAAGCTTACTTTCCCAAAGAAAAAACCTCAGAGAGTGCGAATGAGCTTATGATTGCAACAATGACAGTGCTTAGAGGGGAAAATGCTGTAAAGAACACAGGCCCTTTTTCCTTAATTACACCTCCTCGAACGTAGTACGAAAGCCCCGACATTATTATTCCCTGCCAAATTATAAAAAAAATAAAAAAATTAACTTCATTTTGTTTTAGTAATTTAATCAAATAAAAACGAAGGAAATTTTTTTTTTTTTCATTTTTATTTAACTTGTGTTTTAGTAAACAAACTTCATTTTGAAAAACTAAAATCAAAACTAGGATAAAAGAAATGAAGAAGAAAAGAGAAGTTTGGAGTGGGATTTTATAGTTACAGCATAAAGGATGACCAAGAGTTGAAAATCAAAATGAAGTGACCAGGCACAAGAGTTTCTCCATTCCATTGCTAAAGCTACCATAGCTCCTTCCACAACTCCCACCAAACTCACCAAAACTGTCAAACTCAGCCCCACTGGATATGATTTTAATACAACTGCCTGAAACCAAAATAACAACAAAAGTTAACTATCTGATACCGGGATGCGAACAATGTTCTACGTCAGCGTCGAGAGATCGATTCACAGTACACGAGTAAAGATATATTTGAATCGAAGTATGATCTTTTGTATTGTTTGTACCTGGAGAATGCATGAAACAGAAGAGCAGATACAAGCAATTGTGGTCAAAATGACACCCTTCAAAGAATCTTGATGGGTGTTTGAAGGAGGAGTTGAATTAGAGTGATTGTGTAAATGTTCTAATTTTGTCCAAGGAAATCTCAAGTTTGGGCCTCCAAAAAAGGTCATTATCATTGCCCCTCCCACTGCCACTATAGTTCCCAATATCTTTGCCTGGGATGAAAGTCTCCTAATATCAACCTTCTCCATCCTATCCAAAAAAAAAAGTCAGTTTTTACCTCGAGAAACCTAAAAGTAAGAAAAATAGATAAATAGTAAATCAGTAGTTAATGGTATGTGGGATGAGTTTTCCTTTTTTGTTTTATGTTTTTGAAAATTATGCTTTAGCTCACAAATTTTTTAGTATGTTTATTCACATTTCTTGAAAAAAAGTATGACTTTTATGCATATTTCAAAAGCAAAATCGAGTGATTTTTTAAATTTAGCTTAGATTTTATAGTAAAAAAAAAATACATGGAACGTAACAACAAAAGAACAAAAAATAAAAATTTATTAAACAGAAACCAAAAAGGAGTACCTGAAAATGACAGCGAAGAAGAAGGAAAAGGCAGGAACAACGTTGGACATAGCAATGGAGAAAGTTGGAGTTACATATTTCAGAGCACTGAAATACATGTTGGGGATAACCAAAGAGCTGCAATATTCCCAATCAATCATTTACCACAAAAATTAAACCAATCATATACAAATTTGGTCCTAATTTCCATTATTAGTCCTATGATTTGAAAAGTTTCTATTTAATCTTAATAATTTTTTAGTTCCCACGTAATTTTGTTAAATCTCACCCATGTATAGCATATAATTTGTCTTTTACCCACTCGATAATTAATAAAGTTTTTCCTTCTTTTCATTTTTTTAAATATTTACTTAATAAAGTTAACGATATAGAAAGCATTTCCTCATTGTCACAATTTTTTTTTAAAGTGTCGTGTATTTTATATGACAATAAAAATTAAAAATTAAGTCCATATCATATGAATTAAATTGGAACTTTTAAGATCACATTGTTTTAAATATTAAAATTAAGTACAAAACTATCAAAATCAAACTGAAATTAAGCTAAACCCGAGTTTATAGAAATGAAATTAAAACCATACCCGAATTGTAAATATCAAAATGTTTAAAAAATTATATCGTCGCAAAACTAAAATTTTGTATGAGAAAATGAAAATAAATAATTTAAGAAAAAAATTAGTTCTCACTCCATAGAGCCGAGCAATAGAATCTTGGCAAAGATGGGCCAAGTCATCTGTGGTCTTCTTTTTCTGCCATATATATTATTTGTGTCATCAGTTTCAGCCATTTTCCAAGTCCAAAGAGAGAGAAAGAGATGTATAGAGAGAGAGAGAAACCTGTCAAAGTGTAAGGCAAATGGAGCTACAACAATGGCGGCAACAAAAAAACGATAGAGGGAATACACAAAGGGGCTCATGCCATGGTTCAATGCAATCTTTGCTGTAACAACCAAAGCTGCAGACAGAAATCTTAGAAGGATGGCAGCTAAATATGGCTTCGCCTTCTTCAAAACGTTACTCAAATTGTTCTTCATTCAGCCTAATCTAATTTCCTCTCATCTATTCCATGGCAGATATATATAGAGAAAAATATGTATGGATTTTGGAATGGTGAATATCTTGGGCTCTTGGGGATTTTTGTTGTAGAATTTTCATCAATTTTGATGTGACTTAGGTTTAATTAACGAGGTGCATATGGAAATGTTAACTGAAAATGGAAGTATAAGAGGGACGAACGAGAGATGCGTGATCCATATCGAAAGGTACTTAACACTAGTGTGGTGATCAGTTGGTTACTATATATAAAATACCTTCTCCGAGACTTTAATTTAGATTAGTCTCGTCTCTCTTTATACTTATAAGAGAGGAGAAATCGTTATGATTAAAGTTGAAGGTAACTTTATTCTTTGCAATTGATGAGTTTTTATCCAACTAGATATATTGAGCATTGATCACGTCTAGGACAATTAATGTGTCAAATGTCATAGTATGTTATTGGGCGTACGTACCATCGTCACAAGAATCACCTCAAGTTTGATTGGTGTATGTTGGATCGACTAACCTAATTATTACTTGCTACATGCCTGCGTTGCTAATGGATGATTGGTTGCTCTAATCACACTAGGTATTTGCTCCGATCAAACTTTTCAAGCTTTAACTTCTAATAAAGATTGAATAAATGTGGTCTTTTGGTCCTACTGGATTAGAAAGACTCAAGTTTGAAGCTTCAAGTGAACTTAATACTAAAAATCTTTGACGTCTCTCAGGTCCAGGTCTTGAGATAGGCACGAGTGTCCTTGAGTATAGGAGAGCAATGTTCCGACTCTCCGTTATCAAAAAAATAATAATAAATAAAGATTGAATATTTAGCTAGGCATGATAGTGTTCAGACAAAATTTTGGATTTTTCACTTTTGAACATTTTCTTTATATAAAAGGATAACTTTTTCTTGAGTTTCTAATTTTTTAAGAAGAGCCAAAAAAACAAATTCATATTCCCAAGTAAGCTTACGCTATAAGAAAAAAGAGTTTTAGAGACGGCAAAAAATATTACTGAAAACCCGAATTTGTCGTTAAGACTCCCCTAATCAGGACTTAAAATAGAAATGAAAAAAAGAGACCTATTGTCGTTTATATGCATTTCCACCATTGAAATCTTGCAAACAAACGTCTCCTCCATGAAAAGTAAATATTTGGAATTTGGCTTTAGACAAACTCTTCCATGGTGGGTTTTTCATTTTAGGAGAGACAGCTCTACAAAATTTTGTTAGAAAATAATTCATTTTACAATACTTGACAACACTTTTTAACTATAAAAATGCCATTATTCGTAGCACTATCTATCCAGCGAGCATGATTTATGTGAGGGTGGGGATTGAATTCATCACCTTTTGGTTGAAGATATATATATGTCAATTACCACTGAACTAATTAGTTCACTTTGATTATCATGTGCCTTTAATAAAAACATAAATTAGATATACAATATATAGAAATGGTCTTAAATTGACGCTTCATTTTACAAATGTCATTGTTGTAAATAATTATAAATATAGATTGTGATCAAGTAATGATCCTTTAATGCTAATATTACATCTATTATTAAGTATTTATATTTTAGTAAATTATTCACAAATATAGAAAGTAATCAAAGAATTATTCTCAACTTACCAAAGTTCTCAAAAGAATTCACCAGATTTGAGATTTCATATTTCTCTCGAGCTCACGAATTTGGATGGATCACGCTGGCTTAAGCTTTCGTGTTCATTCCACCCGTTGAAACTAGTATTTTGATTGTTGGTCCATTTGGATTGGGCTGCATGGAATAGTCGGGCAGGCCATACTGGAGTTCTCGCCAGTCGAGAACTGCTCGTTGTCGAGCTCGAGTCAGCCCTAGTCCATTTAGGCTTGTTGACTTCTACGCCCTAGTCCATTCGGTCCTATTTAAGCCTCTTGTCGTTTTTGTCGAGCCTTATTTGTTAAGCCTAGCTATAACATTCTGGTGATTCTATTTCACATTTCCACGGCTCTTTCTATTTTTTCGATGACCCATTCCCTTTCTGGCGATTTATTTCTACTTTTATATGGCTTTTATCTTTTTTCAGCCTTATTTCTTTTCCAACAATTCATTATTTTTTCGGCGGCTTAATTCTATTTTTCGACTACCATTATATTTATATATACATTTTAATCTAATCTATGGAATCATGAATTTAAGAAATAACTTTTGAAATCTCAATTTAATCGTCTTTTAAGTTATATTCTTAAATTTAAAATAATATTCAATTTGAATTTGGTTAATTAAGATAAATTTTGGTTCTTTACTTAAAAAATAATGGCTAATATTTGGTTAATTAGTACTTTTGGAAATTTTCACTTTTTAGTTCTTTTTGGACCAAAAAAAGTCCATAGCACACCCAGGCCCATAAGAATTCCAGAGAGAGACCTTTCTTTTTAAACATCCAGAGAGTGACCTTATTAAAACGTAAAATAAAAGAAATAACAAGTTTTAACTACAAATTTACATAAGTGCTTCATTTAAAATCCTAGTTAATTTGAAATTTTGAATATAGTGAATTGAGATTTACTAGAATTTTTTAAAAAAAAAAACAAAAACCATAATTTATTTTTTTTGAGTT